AGCAGGAACGAAGGTATGTATGGCTCTTCATTTCAGTGCTCTACTGTTATCACTGAACAGTCTTTAGGATAAAGCTCTTTTAAAAAAATTGTTGATTCAATTTTTTTTTCAAGTATTTGTTGCCTGTCTTCTTGACTGCTGTCATTTCCCTTGCTCTTCACAACTTCCAGCACTCCAAAGTCCAAAGCCATCTGTAGGCTTGTATGTGCAGAGCCAATTTCATTCTCATTGTGTCAGGAATGATGATCTACACCCAGATATATTGGTGTTTTGGCACTGAATCTGGGATAAGAAAATGCTACACTGCACTGAGGAAGCTTTGCTCTTTTCTTGCTCTTGATGAAACCATTGCCAAACATCCCCTCTTTCTTTGTGCCATCAGAATTAAGAGTCACAGAATAATTCAGGCTGGAAGGAACCTCTTAAGGTCCACTCTGGAGGTCCTCTGGTTCAGCCATCCAACTACCCACTTACAGCAGTACCAGTCTCAAGGTTAGATGAGGTTGCTCAGGGCCTTTTCCAGTGCTCTCTGCGAAGCCTGTTCCAGAGCCCAACCACTCTCGCTGTGAAGTTTTTTTTTTGTTATATCTAGTTGGAATTTCCCTTCCTGCACATTGTGACTGTAAATTCTCATCCTTTTGCTGTGCATACTGGGAAAATGCAGCTCTGGCCCTTCCATAATTGTTGAAGACAATATTTGTTCAACTCTCAGATCTCTTTCCAGGCTAAACAAACCTAGTTTTCTCATCCTTTTCTTATATATCACGTACTCCAGCTCAACCATTTGGTCTCCCTCCACTAAACTCGCTGCAGTTTGTCTGTGTTTGTCTTGTACTGGGGAGCCCCAGACTGGACACAACACTCCTCATGTGTCTCACCAATGCCAACATGCTCTGTGAAACAGCTTCAGCGTGAGGCTGTGGGTGTGTACATGCAGTCCAGACAGTACCTCATCTTACTGCTTTGTTCCCTGCGCCTCTGGGTAGTGTGCTCAACCAACAATGACCCTTCTTTCCTCCAGTTACCATACAGATGTTACCTTCATTGCTTCACCCCCTGCACATTTCTATCCCTTTCACAGTCAGAGCCACCAGTTTCCAGAGTTTCCAGTTCCCATTCCTAATGGTCCTACATTCCTTTGTAGGCAGCCTTGCCCTGCTTCATAGCTATTTTTCCCTTTCTGGTATTTTCTCCTTCACGTCTCATCCTAGACTTCAGTTTGTCAGGGTAGACAAACTAAGATCATTTTGATTTCTTTTCAGGTTCTCTCTTTCCCTGATAGCCCTTCTCTGCAGCTGTTCCAGGTGAAATTCCTCTTTCTTAATATGGGACACTGTATTTCCAATGAGCTCTCATGAACACATGGTATCAAGGCAGTAATACATCTCAAACTCCATGGGAAATCCCTGGGATGCATTAACATTATGTTTGATTTTCCCCTGGTCATAACACATGGCGGCTCAGAGTAGCTCAGAAGACATCTAATACACTCAAGTTGTTCTCATCCTGTGTTTGTATAAGCTTTTAGCTAATAGCAGCTATTCATATTAATTTCCTAGTGAATGTCGTCGAACATGGCCCTATTAAATTACATTCAATTTTTATTACTGTCATCTAGTTATTTCTGTCTGATTTTCCGATCATCCTCTGTATTGACTATGTCACCTAATGAATATCATCATCAAATTTTTAGCACATTGCTAGTATTTTTGCCAAGATAACTCATGCAAAAAAGAGAAAGCATTAATCCAAAAATCAATCCATGGTCAACTTCACAAGATTCCTTCTTCCAGCCCACTTCTCTCAGTGTTAACATTGTTCTCTTCATAAAATCCACTGTCTAATTTCAAATATCCCCTTCTGGTTCAGTTTAACCCCATAGCTCCCTATATCAAATTATCTGTGGAAATCCAGATAGAGTGGGTCAACACTGTTTCCTTTATATAGCAAATCCATATTTCTTTCAAGGAATGACAAAAGATATCAGAAGGAGATCAGAGTAGTGTGACACACTCTCTGCAGAACATCTATGTTCATTTTTTCATTCCCATCTTGCCCTTGTGCTCAACATCAGTGTGTCCCGCTCTGGAGCTCTCAGCACAGGAAAGACGTAGACCTGTCAGAGAGAGTCCAGAGGAGGGCCACAAAAATGATTCGAGGGCTGGAACACCTCTCCTATGAGGAAAGGCTGAGAGAGTTGGGGCTGTTCAGCCTGGAGAAGAGAAGGCTGTGGGGAGACCTCATAGCAGCCTTCCAGTACTTAAAGGGGGCCTACAAGAAAGCTGGAGATGGACTTTTTACTAGGGCATGTAGGAACAGGACAAGGGGTAATGGTTTTAAACTAAGGGAGGATAGATTCAAACTGGATAGAAGGAAGAAATTTTTTACAATGAGGGTGGTGAAACACTGGAACAGGTTGACCAGAAAGGTGGCAGATGCCCCATCCCTGGAAACATTCAAGGTCAGGTTGGACAGGGCTCTGAGCAACCTGGTCCAGTTGAAGATGTCCCTGCTCATTGCAGGGAGCTTGGACTAGATGACCTTTGAAGGTCTCTTCCAACCCAATCTATTCCATGATTCTATGACTCTATGGTTCTATGATCATCTTTCGTTTCATTAAGATCTGAGGTAAGGAAACCGGGCAGTTCTTAGACCACACTGAAACTGTCTTGCATTTCTATGTGATCCACTGCTAGATCCACAGCTACAAGCCTTGTCCTCATTTTATTGATGAGACCTTTCTTCTTTTATGTCCTCTGTCACGCTAACCCAGCTTGAATTTTGGCAACATTTTGGTCGCTCACTTTTAGAAACTAGGGTAGCCAAATGTGTAAAAGAAAATAGTTATACATTCTCCTCTGCAAGTCTTCACAACATCATTACTTTTTTTTCCCCCTGTTTAGCCTTGATCGCTCTTCTGAGAGAAGGAGAGAGCCTGGAGGATCTGATGAAGTTGTCTCCAGAGGAACTGCTGCTGAGGTGGGCAAACTATCACCTGGAGAATGCAGGATGCAACAAAGTCAACAACTTCAGCTCAGACATCAAGGTATGAGAAACACTGACCAACAATAGCAAAAAAGCAGCTCCACACCCAAATATCTGTCCTCCAAACAGGGACTGTGCACTGAAACAATCCAAGCAGATGAGACTGCTCTGCTGAACACATGAAGCTGGGTACATTAAATCATTTGGTGGGGTTTACCATTCTGCTCAGCAGTATTCCTCCTCCTCCCAAACTCCCAGTCATCACTGCCAGCCCCAGCACACCAAATGCCTGGGAAAGGAACGGCTGCTGGCTCTGGACAGGGTGTATGGACTCTACCACTGAATTTTCAGTTCCCTGCATCTACTGCTCTTCTACTACCTAAATGTCTTTAAATGCCTCCTGACCTGGCTTTGGTTTGGAAAAGGCTTGACCTTATGCAGACATGTAACTAGGTCTAAGGGAAGAGGATGGGGCTCTTCCAATTCCCCAACTTGATCTTTCCTTCAGTACAGCACCTGGGTTATGTGCTGCTCTGTCCCCACCTTTGCTATAACCCTGCATGCACTTACCTGCAAGTTTTAATTCAGTGGGACTATTCACAATAATATAGCTAGATGGGGAGGCACTTGCAGGGATGGATGTCTAGTCTGTGCAGAATATTTCACATACTTGGGACTTCGTGAGCTTGTGGGTGCAGATTTCAGCAGAGCTTTCTCTGTAGGACCTTCGTTCTTCCTAGACAGACGTATTTCAACCTCAGCGGTGCACACCAATGAGTTTCAGACACTAAAGCTACAGTGTGAGGCCCAGCCAGCATCCCAGGGCTGCAGGGGGTGTATCAGAGAGGGTGTCTGAGCTGGCTTCCAGGCAGGGCAGGGGCTGGCCAGCACACCAGCCTCACCAGCCATGGCCCAACCTGCCCACTCCCAGCACAGTATGGGAAAAGCCTTGCTCAGAGATACCTGGTTGTAGGCTTTACCAGGGACTGAAGCATGGAAAGCCATTTACCGTGATTTACTTGAGATACGGAAAAAAACACCAGAGAAGGCAAGAGGAGAGTCCGAGAGTCGCATTCAACAATACAATTTTTAGTGTAACAGATTTTTGGTTCACTGGGTGGGGGTGACAGGAGAATATCCATGGAAAGGGAAAGGCATGGAGACTTTCCCATCTTTCTATAGGCTGGACAAGAGGACTATAATGCAACTGATTAAATCCTATCTGCAATTGAGAGATAAATTGCACTTACCATATTTACAGTTGGAAAATAAGGCACACATTTAACTCTCAGAGGCCAAGACTTCAGCCTTTACAGCCATTTTCTAATTAAGTGCGTCTGCTCACCTCACTTCTGTTATAAATAACTGCTTTCTAGATATGGTGGGTAGTAATGCAGATGTATAAGAGTTAAAATAATTCAGGTAATCTGCTTTATATTTTGAAGAGTATTAATTGGGTTAATTAGTCAAGTCCCTGGACAGTAACATGTAGCTTTATTTTCAATTCTTTGAGTTATTTCTGAAGTGAGATTAATATTTTCCACACATGGAAGCAACATTACATTTCACAAAAGACTAAAGACACAACATGTTAAATCCTTGTCTTGTTCCTGCCCTTTTGCCTGAAAAATGCTGATACTGTTGTTGGTGTTAACTTTTGTCCTTGAAAACTGTGCTTTCTCTTCCATAACTGTTCCAGCGTTGCTTTGAAATCTGCTTTAAACATCTGCTTTCTCCTTCTGCATTTTCTTTTATTAAATGCTCGGCAGCCTGACTTCTACAGTATTATAAAGGTATGCATTTTCTTATCTCTTATTTAATGTTCAGATTAAGTCAATTCTAATATCTCTTTGTTGTTGCTGTCCTTTAAATGCCACACACAGCATCTTGTCTCATGTGTTGAGCATTCTACAGCATATATATATATTGGCTTAGGGAAGAAATAGATCTAGCAAATATAGCATAAAGTAGGAATTGCTGAGTGCTTCCAGCATCATTAATTTAATTATGTAGCCCAATGATTGATTAATAAAAACGAAGCATGCGGGCACATCACTGTTCAGGGGAGCGCAGGCACGCAAAACCTGAGCTTTAGATGTAATTTTTCCTCCCATTCATTTCTCTGTCTGTCACAGGACTCAAGAGCTTATTACCATTTGCTGAACCAAGTTGCCCCCAAGGGAGATGAAGAAGGCATTCCGGCTATTACTATTGACATGTCAGGATTAAGGGTAAGATGAGATAAGTTTAGAGTAAATGCCGATATTTTCTGTCTGCTACTTGCATTGCTGGCCAACACAGAGTTGCACTGGGATGCCAGAACAAGCAAACTCTTTTTAGCATTGCAACATGATCTTGTATTTCAGAAATCAAAGCCTTCAAAGAATTAAATGATGTGTTTTGCCTTTTATTAGATATTATCGTTGAAACTTTAACAAACATTGAACGACACCGATAAACTACTAATGTGTAACAAGTATATTTAAATGCACTTATTTGGGAATTTCATCAAACCATCCCCTTTTATATGGAATATAACTGTCAAAGAAATATGGTGAGGTGCTTGGATTGTAGGTATAGCCCATTTGAAAACACAGACCTGCCGTTAGTAGAAGTGGGAAAGGAAATAGCTGTAAAACCGACAAGGACCTGCTGTAGCAGCCCCACACCTAGCTCCACAGGCAGAGACTCCGAGTGGGTCTTGTGTGCAAGACAAGGGGATGTCTTGGGGTGAGGCTGATGGCCCCATTTTCTGCCGGCGCAGGAGAAGGATGACGTCCAGCGAGCAGAGTGCATGCTGCAGCAGGCGGAGCGGCTGGGCTGCCGGCAGTTCGTCACGGCCACTGACGTTGTCCGGGGGAACCCAAAGCTCAACTTGGCCTTCATCGCCAATTTGTTCAACAAATACCCTGCCCTGCATAAGCCAGAGAACCAGGACATCGACTGGAGCTCTATTGAAGGTAAGGAAAATGCAAGTAAAGGATGTTTCTGGCCACCCGTGCCACAGTATCCCTAGCTGTGAGCAGGTGATACATTAACCTAACCTTATGTCCTTCAGACATACATTCACTGCACCATTAGCACAGGCAGCCTTGAGAAGGGGAGGCTGCTCTTTACCTGCATGGGGCTTCTGGTATGTTGGGGGTCTGTTCTGTGGATGGCACAGGTTAAAAGGCAAAAATTTTTGTGGGATGTCTGAACCGGTATGGACTATTGAGCATGCTTGTTAGTTAAAATTAGAGTTGATCTGGCATTCCCTTAATTGAGGATATAATTTAAAAATCGGGTCTTGCATAAACCTGCTGCTGGCTTGCTCTGGGTTGGGGTCAGGACCACTGTTGTGTGGATCATTTGCTGAGCTTCAGGTCCTTCTTTCTCAGCCTCATAGTGAAACTATTCACAACAGGGCGCAGGCTGTTCTTGAAATCTTGAAGGCATTTCAAGGCCAATCTGCCTAAATACTGTAATATACAGGGCATAAAGAAATACTACAAGCTGCGCCGTGCTCTCTTATTTCACATGTCAGCCTGCGTCTCCTTCTGTTTATGGTTCAGTGCGCTGTAAATTCTGAGTTATGGTTTCATCACAAGACACTTATTTTGCTGGAGTGTTGTGCTTTGCAGGCCTGTTGATTGATGTATCTGTTGTTTTAGGTGAAACAAGGGAAGAGAGGACGTTCAGGAACTGGATGAACTCCCTGGGTGTTAATCCACGTGTAAATCACTTATATAGGTAAGAGGAGGTGTTACACTTCTTTCAGATTATAAATACAGACTAAAACTTTTTGGACCCTGTAAGAATATATGCTGCTTTTTTTTTTTTTTTTCAGAAAACTAAGTTTACATCTATTAATAGTTTATTTGGGTTATTTGTGTTCCTTTCCTCTGTGCTTTGGACAATAATATATCTTTTTTTATTGTTTTCAGTGACCTGTCAGATGCCTTGGTTATCTTCCAGCTCTATGAAAAGATCAAAGTGCCAGTAGACTGGAACAGAGTCAACAAACCACCATATCCTAAATTGGGTGGCAACATGAAGAAGGTACAAAAAGCTGGAATAGCTCCAGTAACATTGCCTTATCCTCAAAGGATGCCTATATAATTTCAAACAGCAATGTGGGCACTCATGTTGCACTCAAGTCCCAAGTACAGTACATTAAATTCTTTTTTGTCTAGTCAGTGAATAATTTTTCATCCTGCAAAAGACTGACTCACTGGCTCTGTTGACAGGTGAACAAGATTTGTAAAGTAAAAAGACTTGACACCTTTTGTGTCAATATTTAAAAACTGTATTTGCAGACCACTTTTGCTGCTGTCTTAGTCACCAATTATAATGCATCTTCACCGTGAGTCATATGGCACAGGCTTAATTGCAGCTGTCTGGATCAGTGCCCTCCACATCAAATGAAGACAGTGATGATAAGCGTTCTTGACCAGATGCCTCAAGAACCGATCACAGAGCTGCTGCTAAATACAAAGCTTTCTCCCAGCTATCTGGATGAGTAATTCCATCCAGTTAGGGCAGAGTGATTAACTGACCTACAATATTGACTGGGACACTAATCCTTTGTCTCAGTGCAATGCCATGATGCTGCAGGTACCCATGAGCCATAGATTTGTATTTTCTAGGGTAATCAGTTTTTCAGGCCCTGATGACGAAGTGTAACATTTCTTTCAATGTTAACTGTTTACTGTGGTATTTTGGGGATGGAACCGGCTGCTGGTAGTCAGACAGCTGTATTATCACAGAGCCCTAAAGCTCCTGTTTGCCCAGGAGCATCAGGGCTAAGCGATCCAAAGAATTTAAAGTAACAGTATCTTGTCTTCTTTTTTTCTATATTTTTGAACCGCATTGACACTGTCATTAACAGCTTGAAAACTGCAACTACGCAGTGGAACTGGGAAAGAATCAAGCCAAATTTTCCCTTGTTGGCATCGCTGGGCAAGATCTTAATGAAGGAAACCGTACGCTCACGCTGGCCTTAATCTGGCAGTTGATGAGAAGGTATAGCAGTCAGACACAAACTTCAGAGTTTTTTGGTATATGTTCAGTTTGCATTGTAATGGTTTCCTCATGCTATCACTGAGCAGGCTCTACAGGCTACAGCTTTCTCACTCCTCTGTTTGCACTCTTGTGGAAAGACAAAGTAACCTTTTGCTCACTCCTAGTTAGGGATGCCATCAGGAAGCACGTTATCATGTGGGCAAGGGCATTACAGTCAGCTCATGCAGAAGATTATTATTGTCACTATCTGTACAGTGTGAATAAATGTTCATTGCATGGAAGAGACAAAAAGAAGCTGACAGGTCTCTGTATCAGGGACTGGGGAGAATGTACTGGAAACAAGGAATTGATGCAGAAGTTTTGTAATCTGCTACCTGAAGCAGATGCAACTCAGTAGCTCTCCTCGTTTTAATGTAATTCTGTGAGTGTGTGCATTTGTGTGTGTGTTTAAGAGCTCCATAATTGGGTGTGAAGCAACCCAGTGGTTAGGAACTGAATACAGACTAAATTCAGTCTATAAAGCAAGGGGTAGGTTTATCAGGCAGGTAATTAATCTAGGGATGTGGTGATTACTTGCCGTCAATTTGGGATGTCTTTCCAATGTGTATGCTTACATATAAGCAAAATATTCCAGGCTTGTGTTTACACAGAAGGTCAGTCTTAGATGAGAACAACAATTCCCTTCTGGCCTTGAAGTCAGTGATTATTTTTTTAAGCACTATGAGAATGGGTCATTTACACTGAGATCCGCTAAGAGGGACCTTTTAGAAATTTTGAGCATCAAAAACTTTTGACACTCCCAAAACAGTGATTAAGGAATTGAGGATGAATTAGATCCATTAGATTAATTATCACTTTATAATCTAATTCATATACTTTGTGAGCGTGTGGGAAGCAGGGGAACAACAGGTCTAAGAGGACTGTTGGCATGATCCCAGTCAAGCCGCGCATGTACAAGATGGTTCTGAGGTTATGGTAGACTTCGAGCAAATGCAGGTATCCTGGATTCCCTCTTAAGGTATACCCTGAATATCCTTGAAGACATTGGTGGTGGAGAGAAGGTCAATGATGAAATCATTGTCAGCTGGGTCAATGAAACACTGACTGCAGCCGGGAAGGATTCAACTATCTCCAGTTTCAAGGTACAGTTTTTTGTTAGAAGTCTCTGCTTAGGAATATCTTAGTGTGTTTGTGTGTATATTATTCACATTGCCTGTATATAGACATATATGCATATAGTTGCACGCGCTACATTATGATATAGTTAACTACATAGTTTGATTATTCTTCATTTCCTTTTAAATATACAGATTTTATTTAAGGGGCTTTATTATGGAAGGGTAACAGAAACATGGTATGAACATAACAGGAGACACCTTGAATGCCAGTTTGACATGGGAAATCAAAGTATGGAGCCAGGAATGATGACTGGAGTTAAGCAAGGACTGCTGTGTTGTTGATTATTAAACAACAGCAATTACAAATGACAGTATTAAAAAGAACGATAGCAATATGTTTATGATCTGGTAGTGCCATTCAGGGGTACCTTGCCCAGTTTTGCAAAGTACCATGTAAATGCAGAGATGGACCAATTCCAGAGAGCTTCCAATTTTGCTAATGCATTTGCGACACTTCGCAAGCTGGGGAACGCTCAGTGGATGTAAATCAGCAGTTGGCACCAGGCGAGGACAGATCCATCAGGCTTCACGTAACGAGCTCAGGAGTCACACAGCTGGTCCCCCTTGCACTCCCATCAGTAGACATGTATCAGTGTCATCTCCCCGCAGGAAGCAAATTCACCAGCCCAGCACTTGCTTTAATGATGTCTCATCCACTGAGGGGGAAAAAAAAAATCCTTGAAAGGGTTCTGAGTCTGCCTTAGATGAGAAACAGTGCTAAGCAGCCCTTTGTGAAGATCTAAATGGTATTTGACTGAACTGTCCATTGCTCTCGAGCCTAGACTCTGGCTTTGTGGGAGATCTGTCATCCTATTCTTGCATCTAATCGTATTCTTCATCTTTGCAGGATAGCAAAATCAGCACCAGCATGCCAGTCCTGGATCTCATTGATGCCATTCAACCAGGATCAATCAAATATGACCTCTTGAAAACAGAGGACCTGAATGATGAGGAGAAACTAAATAATGCTAAGTACGTTCGTGCCACTTAACACAAGTTACATGCTCAGGCTTGCCTGACTGTCTTTGAAAACTGCTCTGCTATCATTCTGATCTGGCACAACCTCAACTGAGAAATGCCTCGTGAGTTAGAAGCTAGGAAGTTAGGCAGTAAAAAAAGACTATCAATGGAAACGAAGTGTGTAATGTTATAATTCCTGCTTTATAATTCCCTTGAAGGGATCAAAATCACTTGGCCTCGCAAGCTCCTATTTTATCTTATTAAATGTAAAATTCTTTCAGAGATCAGGGAACAGCGCCAACAACAGTGAGACATGGAAAGCAGTGATTAGAGGTCATAATACCTCTTTACTCACATATAGGGGGAACAAGAGCATATTTAAGAGAGACAGGGAGGACAGGATTCATGCCTGAGAAACGGTTTTTATGGATGTGGATATTGATTTTTTTTTTCCCCTGAGTGCAAACCATTTCTTAGCAGAGAACCAAACCTGGGGGCATCTGCCTTTCCTTTCAGAGTTATAGAGATCTCCTCCCGGTCTGATCATCAGTTTAGCTTCTCCTTTGCTATGTGGCAACTACAAAAGAGAAAAGGATGTCTATAAAGCAATGAGAGCTGCCATAATTTTTATAAAGACTTTTCCCACTGCTCTCTTCCCCTTCCATTTCCTATCATCTGTTCTCTGTCTTTCCTTGCAATCCTACTTGTCCTTCTCTACATACTTAATTTCTTCATCCCTCTGTTGATGTTTTCCTCTTTTCCTCTCCCTTTCTTTCCCCACCCTGCATGTTTCTCTGCATTTTGGGAGGAATTTGACAAATGTGTGTGCTCTTCAGTGGGAAGAACCTGGGATTTTCTAGCTTTTTTAATTAAAAAATAGAGAGAAGAGACATACCCACTGGAGAACAGCCAGTAGCCATGCAATAGTGCACTCAGAACAGGGAGGTGGGAAGATCAGCTTGTAAATTGTGGGTGTGACTCAAGCAGAAAAGACGTCCCTGAATGCTGATTTTGCCAAAACACTGATCTCCACCAACATCAGCGTTTTGCTTTCCAACCTCATCAATTTGTTCATGTGCAAAGACTGAGCAGCAGAGATTGAGGGGGAGCAAGACCAGAATGGCTGCTTGTTAGGATAATCTTTCAGGGGATGGGAGACAAATGTTTCATACCAGACTTTGACCTGCAGTCTGTCATGCTGCAGGTAATCAGTGCTCTAGCCATCAGAGAATATACTCTATCTTTTACTAGAAATTAGTTCTCTATGAACCTGTCTCCTACATTCCTATAGAAAAGTTTAATTTTGATGAATCAGTAAGAAAGTTCCCAACCAACTCTGGTACTGATCATGCAAAAAACTTCTTAATAGAGGGAAAATTAATGCTACTGCACTAATTAATTTCTTTGTTTGATGGTTTGGGTTTTTTTTTTTTCCCAAAATGCAGATATGCCATCTCTATGGCGAGAAAAATTGGAGCAAGAGTCTATGCCCTTCCAGAAGACCTGGTTGAAGTAAAACCCAAAATGGTCATGACAGTGTTTGCTTGCCTTATGGGAAAAGGCATGAAGAAAGTTTGAAGCACAAAAGACTTGTTCTGATGCCTGGTATTCACCCTTTTGATTCCCTCAAACTGGATGCTCTTCTCCGTATCAAGGAAATATGCAGGGTGCTCATGCTGTTAAGGCATGAACGTTATAGATGGTTTCAGATCGTACAAAAGTTGTGTATCCACATGTATCCAGGAAATGTTTTGTTCTGAGCAGTAATATGTGCTTGATTTCTTTGCCTTATTTTCCACTTTGCTAGATATAACCATTTCATATTCCTGAATAAGTTTTCAGTAGCGAGGCCTATACATATCCTTTTATTAATGGATATCAGGGTTTTCTGTCAGAGGTCACCTGGAAATCTTTGTTTCAGGAGGTACAGACAACTTTTAGGATTATGAAATGTTATATACTGCTTCTGCCTGAAAATGTCTTCATGCTTTTGGTAGCATTTCTGCTATACTTTCCTTTGGTTTGAACCTGAGATAACAAAAGGGGTTTCCTCAAGCCAATGCAAGTATTAGTGACTATATTTTTGGAACAGTAGGATCCTCTTAGGAAATTCTTGTGGAAAGAAGTATTTGGGGTCTGCGATGTGTTGCTGGTATGTGAACTGAGCAGTACTTTTCTCTGCAAGTTATGCCTCTGCTGTCAGTGGCATTACTCACAGAGTACATTACTACTCACTAAAAAAGCATACCATAACCTGATCCTCCAAGAACACCCAAACTCTGGAATCTTTGCAAGAAATGCTCTCCAAAGGACAATTCATTTTTATGTCATAATGCACTTAAAGCATAAGCAGATTGCAAAGCATGATAGAAATGAAAACCATGTTAAAGAAACTAAGGGCATATACTCACTTAGTAGCAATACGATGAGAAGTGAACCAAAGGGACACAGAATGACTTACTTATGTTGTGAATAAAAATTGAACTCAACTTCACACACTTGCACTCAAAGGGCTGTGGCCCTGATTCAGGAGAGCATTTAAATCTGTGCTTGTGTATGAAACACGTTCTAAAATGCTTCCCTGAACCCAGGCTGGGATCCTCAACGGAGCTAAATCAGCATAGCTTTGCGGCTGACAAGGCACTGTCAATTTGCCTCAGTTGAGGACCTAGCCCCGACTACGGATAGTCAGTGGGACATATTTGCACTGAATCTCTTCCTTGGCATGAGTCATTTACTGTTCTGGCCTTTACGTGGATTTTACTGTGGTGAAATGCAGAAGGAGGGAGTTTTGCCTTAATGCAATCCCGCTGACACTCAGTTCCCTCCCTCTCCCTTCCCTCCAGCCCCTTCAGAATTGCCTTAATAAAGAATCAATATTCAATGATGTTAAAAGTCTCTCCAAATAAAATGTTCTACAAAGCCAAATGTGTAGTCTTTGCTTTTAGTAATGCAATTGCTAATGTGGAAGTGTGTATCATATAGCTGAAATAAGGACAGATTTAAAAAAACCCAACAGTGGGCTTGCTAAGGATGTGTCTTCCATATTGTTACTGAAACCATAGACTGCAGAAAGCAGGAATAATTATGTCCTAGGTCATTTCTGAACATGCCACCCTGAGACGCTGCCATAGATGGGACACTCTGCTGGCTGGACCTGCAGTCTGACCCAGTTACGATTTTCCCCATTCGGTACCATACCTGTCATCCTCTTCCTTTGCTCATATACTCATTAACATTGCTTCTTTAAGCATTCTGCAATGCAAACATACTACTTGGTTTCCATACTAATGGCCAGATCTTGTTCCTGATCAGATCTGGCTGCCCTGTTCCTCTCATGAAGCTGTGTATCGGGTGGGAAAGGTGTGGTGTCCTAAGACCCATTCCGTCTGGTCACAGTATTTCCCAGTGCTGGCAGAGGAGGAGAACATCTCGAGTGTTATATGACAGAGATGTCACCCCAGCTTATTGCTCAGCAATGGGGAGTTACCAGAGCATGGTCCCTACACTGCTCCTCCTCTTTTCAGGCGTAGGACCCACTGCTGCCGTACAAGAGGGGTGGCACTGAAAAGGCGTCTCCTCTTCCCTTTCGTTGTTTGACTTGAGACTCATGCAGAGGTAAACCAGAGAGAGGAAACTGCAGGCAGAAACTGTGACCACAGCATTTCTCTCCAGCGGATGTCTATTTGTGTGTGTTGCATGCACGTGTGTATGTCCACAAACTGCAGGGGCCATTTTCGGCTGGATAGACAGTGTAGATCTGAAAAAGCCAGGTAATCCTGCCCAAAGACAGCCCTGCTCCGGGTTCCCTGATTTAGGGAGATGCCCTCACCCCAGACTTGGGGGCAGACGTGAGGGATGAAGTAGGCGACGGATGGGAGATGATAGCAGCACCAGAGCGTGAGGGGGGCTTTTCCCTTGGTCCCAAATGAACGTGGGCACATGCTATCCCCAAAGAAAAGAAGGGATTTTCAAGCGTTTTCCATTCACCCTCTCTTAGAACTCAGATTTTTGCCCAGGGGTAGGATTTTTAGAGGAGCCTGCTGAGGGAAGCAGAGAGAGGAGGTTTTCACGCATCATGCATTTCCCATAGGCAAGATGTGGGACTTCAGAGTCCCTGGAGATCAAGACCTGCCTCCAGCTCAGGCTCTGGAGAGGGGCCAGGTGACGTACGCTGTCCTTCAAAGCCGGTTTTGTGAAGGGGGCTGCTTTTCCTCCTCCTCAGCACCCTAGCACTGGAGCCAGGCACCCTGCCACACATCGCTAGTCCCCTGCCCCCAGGCTGCGTTTTGGGGTTCTGCCACTGAGCCCCAACCTGCAGCTCCGCACCCCGTCCAGCCCTGGCACCAGGCCTGGCACCAGTGCCGCAGGGAGAGCTAACCACCAGATGGCACGCACTCTCTGTGCGAGCTCCAAAAATCCTCTCTTCTGGCAAACAGAGAAAAATTGGGATATTTAACCCTAGGCAAAACGCTAGCACCTGCCAGTGTGCGAAAGGCGGTAAGTGCTGTTGGCAGGGATACTATAGCAAATGCCTTAGCAGATCTTCATCCTTATCTCTATAATCTCCCGTGAAAAATAAAGCTGTCATGGACCCGAAGCTGTGGGAATAGCCACATTCTGGTACACCAGTATAAACATGTTCAATTTTCAGTGCACCTCTGTTTAACTGGGTATTCTTGGGTTTTTTGTGAACTTGAGGTTTTGCTTTCATGAACTGGTAATGGGAGTCTGTAGTAAAGCTCTCAGCAGCTGCTGAAGGGGTTAAACCCATGACAAACATCAAAAAATCTCAGGATCTGGAATTTTTTGCTGCTGCTTTTCTCCAACTTTTTCCATCACTCTTACAGAAAGCAGCTGTCTTTGGGATTCACTCCCAAATCAAACTAGCTTTGTAAGCACTTCCATTATTGATTTTCATTGCACAATTAATTATAATTTTCAAGGCTTCAAAAAGGCTTAGACATTCCCATGAATAAAAATAAAGCATCAGCAGTTAGACTAACTAGGAGAAAAAACCATGAGGGCAATCAATCCACTTGCTTCAGGGTACAGTCTGATCACCAGATGGACTCAGAAGGAAATATCCCCCCATAGTGTAGTAGAGCATAATTAGGTGCATGATGAGGGTTTTACACCTTCTTGTAAATCATCTATCCTGGCTAGAAATCATCTCTTCTGGCCTTAGAAAGGGGATAGCAAGGAGTATGGCTGGCTGCTGTGCTCTTGTACAGATAAAGCTGTCTTTCTACTTCCTCCAGAGATGGAACTGAACCAAAACCCCAACCTGACATCACTCCTTCCAAGTGCAGCTTAATTCTGCTGTAAGCCTCATCACAAACTTCAGGTCTTCATGTCCATTGCTGCCTAACCATTCAGCAGCTTTGTCTGGTTCCTGCTTGGAAAACAGGACTCTGCCTCTGGCAGATGGCTGCAAAAAACACACAAGCAGCACTGGTCCCACAGTAAGCACTCAGCTACCACTGCTTTCAGCTTGATGGAGAAATGGATCCTGGTGCCTCAGATCTTGAAAACCCATGTGTTGAATTGCAACTGAGACTCTCCAGCTCCCCATCTTCTGGCAGCCTCCACCATCTGGAGAATGGACTTGTCAAGAATATGGGAGCATTTTCCTCCAAGTTGCTCAGCCACTTTTAAGTCCAGTTCTTTTCAGACAAGCGGACAAGGTGAGAAGTAGAGAGTAGTGTCACTGGATGCTTGAGCCTCATTGCCTGTTGTGTGGTGAGCAACGTCAGAGTTAAAATTTATACATAAAACTATGAAGCAGTTCATGAAGCAAGTCAGGAAACAGTGGAGCTCTGTGTACTGGTAAGGTGATAGGCTTGATATAGCTTAGTGCAAGCAAACTCTGAATTAGGACCAAAATAACTTCATAATGTTCTCATTTTCTTCATATTTTTTACATATATCCGTGCTGGGTGGCAGTTCTCTTCTGCCACCAGGAAAACTGAGTAGTTCTCCTGATGGTTCTCAGGAAGTAACACACAGCTCTGAAGTAAAATTACTATTTAAAGCACTGGTTTTCATCACACCTTATTTACTTTTTGTGCCCTGATCACCTTTTAAGGGCAACAGTATCTTACAGAAAACCTAATGTGCTCCCAGGGTGCACGCTACTACTACTATGGATCCATGACAAATTGTTGCAAGCTGAGAATGGCCAGAAATCCCACAGGCCGTGTACTCACGGGTAATGATGTGTCTGCAGTTGTGAAAAGGGCTGAAAGCTACATAACTGATCATGCATATAAGCACTGAACTCCCTCAGGGCAGGCACTCATTTAGTGATAAATATCTAAAGGAATACAACAATGAATATCTGTAAACACACGAATCATGGAGAGAAACCCCACACATCCACCCGGGAAATCTCCTAGCAGGTGACTGACATGCACGGTGCTGCTTTGATTCGCGCAGGCAGAAAAGCGATGTCCCATTGCCAGGCACCTCTAGCAGCCAATGAAGTTGTCCCAGCTTTTCACTGCAGTTAAGCAAAGCAGACACCTCAGAGCACGTGTTGGTTTGTCACTGAGGTCAGAAGATGTCTTCTCACCAGCCCCTTGGTAACACGCCCTCCCTTCATTTTGCAGCCCTGGAGCAGAACCCCCTGCACGTCTGCTGGGTGGTGAATAAGCCTTAGCTGCATCGATCTCTCCATGCCTCCTCCTGCAGCTGCTTGGGTGCTCATGAAACAGCCCCGTGGTTAAGTAACACCCCAGTGAAAGGCGTAACCAGTCACATTAGTGAAAAGTAATTGAGATCTCTGAACAGGCCCACACCACCAGCCCCACCTCCACTGCTTGCTGCACTGTGTTTCATGTTAGAGAAATGTGGCCGCAGTGCCCCATAATGCTTCAGTCACAATCCTTCTCAGACCAACATAGAGCAATGCTGTCCTCATGGTGATGAGACCTTGCAGAACAGTCAAATGCATCTAGAAACTTCCCAATCTCGCTGCTGGAGCCAAATGCTAGGAATGTAGGTTCTGCTAATTGTAAAGGTTGTGAA